GAGGGCCCTTGGGGGCGCTATCGCTTTTAGGAGGGCCCGAGGAATCGCCACCGCCCCTGAGAGAACTCTTGGCAGTGCCGTCGCCCCTGGAAGGTCCTTGTCGGCTGTTGTGTTTGCACTATTTAAATCTCTGAGAGATATAACGTTAAATAAATACACCGCCCATTGCATTTCTAGTGTCATCGCAACCTGAACAGTGAAAAGTAGATTATATATCCAAGAGGAAAACATAAGTTGGGGTGTTGTGCTGACTGATTGCTCTGTTCTCCTATTGGCTGTAATTTGGTGGGTTTACATTTTAGTCCACCAATCACAGTCAAGTAAGGGATTGCTGGACAAATGCAATATGTACGACACCAGGGTGAAGCCTCTGGGGCGCTGTCGCTCCTGGGAGGGCCTCTGGGGGTGCTGCCACCGCTGGGAAGACCTGGGGACGCTGCCGCCCGTGTGAGGGCCCCTTTACCTCTTTAACCCCATTTCCTATTAAAACGTTTTTTCCCGTACCCCCTTTTCACTGTTCCCTCTTCATTCCTTTTTTCCCTCCTACTATTTTTTACCCATGTGCCCCTATTTCGGTTTTTCTAAGCCTCAACTATTTTCTCTTCTTCTTGGGATATAATATATAAATATAATTTGGGAATAATAATATATATAAATATACTTATTTTCGTTGTTTATTAAAAAAATATTTACATAGTAATTAAATTAATTAAATTATTGTGGTGATACCACACCACCAAAGGCTGTGTCCGTTCCTGGTATGACAGTCAGTTGTATCACACACACAGCTCTTATAGTAGTAGCCACAGTCCCTAAGCACGTCCACAATGTTCTTGTCAGTAACAGACAGCCAGCCTAAGGGGCTTCACACTGCCTCTTTTTCACAAAGCTCTTATTAGCTGTACATAATAACTAGCACTCTCTCAAAGCCCATGGCAGTTTATACAGGCCCCATGTAGACCCTGATAGCAGTCTCCCACAGGTCCTGGCAACACCACAGAACCCTCTAGGAGCCTCACACAGACCCTTAGGAGTATCAATCAGACCCCTTAGATAGCAGTCTATGAGCCTCAAACATCAAGTATTATTCACAAACAGCCCCTAGCAGCCTCATGTACACCCTAGGGGCCTCACAAGCAGCCCCTAGCAGTGACACACTGCCTCAAAAGAATTACAAAATATTTAATAATTACAAATTAGTCCACAAGAAAAACTTCTTAGATTTTCAACATGTACAACATAGACAAAAACAAATTATAATTCCAAAAGTTTGTCCTCAGGAAACTCATTGCTTACTTACACACAAGTTGTAAAGTACGTAAAAAATACCGAGAATTACAGTAAATACTTAAACTATCATCTTTTATTACAAACAGTAAGTTCAACAAAGTTATTACACACTATTGATCAAGTTTATGAATACAGTATACTATAACTCCCAGTAATTATAACAGCTTTACAATGTACTTGTAACCAATGTTACAGGGTCTTTTTGTATTCAAAGTCATTAAGCGAGCTAAAGTCACCAGAGACATCCTATTGGTGGACCACAGCAGTGACGTCACTAGTTGCCTACGTCATTGGTGGGACTGAAACCCAACATTTTACAATGATCTAACTTAACAAAAATTGGACTTGTTCTTTAACTTCAGTCATAATTCTGACTATTATTTAACAGTCATTCTTGAGAACTTACAGATAACATCCACACAATAGTTTATAATAAGTGTATTACAGTCTGACCCTTAGTAACCCACAAGTCTATATGGTTACTCCCATACAAAACCTCCCCCTCTCGTACACATCACAGCGAGTCCTCCTCTCACATCTACACTTTACAGTGAGTCCTCCTCTCACATCTACACTTTACAGTGAGTCCTCCCCTCACATCTACACTTTACAGTGAGTCCTCCTCTCACATCTACACTTTACAGTGAGTCCTCCTCTCGCATCTACACTTTACAGTGAGTCCTCCTCTCACATCTACACTTTACAGGGAGTGTCCTCCTCTCACATCTACACTTTACAGTGAGTCCTCCTCTCACATCTACACTTTACAGTGAGTCCTCCCCTCACATCTACACTTTACAGCGAGTCCTCCTCTCACATCTACACTTTACAGTGAGTCCTCCTCTCGCATCTACACTTTACAGTGAGTCCTCCTCTCACATCTACACTTTACAGGGAGTCCTCCTCTCACATCTACACTTTACAGTGAGTCCTCCTCTCACATCTACACTTTACAGCGAGTCCTCCTCTCGCATCTACACTTTACAGCGAGTCCTCCTCTCGCATCTACACTTTACAGTGAGTCCTCCTCTCACATCTACACTTTACAGTGAGACCTCCTCTCACATCTACACTTTACAGTGAGTCCTCCTCTCACATCTACACTTTACAGTGAGTCCTCCTCTCACACCTACACTTTACAGTGAGTCCTCTCACATCTACACTTTACAGTAAGTCCTTCACTCATTCCTACACAATACAGCGAGTCCTTCCCTCAGTCCTACACAATACTGCTCGTCCTTCCCTCATTCCTACAGTCGTCCGTAATTAAACTTTCAATATACTGTTATAATCTGTTGTAGTATTTCTGCGGACGTAGCTAACCAACAATTAATTCTACACGATACAACTTTCTGCCATGTCGGGTAAGAGACCTGTTCATGGCAGATTCATCTTTTTCTGTCCTCTTGGTCGTTTCTCTTCCTCCTGATGGTACTTCGTCATCTGGACACCATGTTGTGGTTCTCATCCTCCCTCGAGAGGTATTTCTCTATCTACCTGGAAAAGGAACAATATTCTAATTATAAAAAACAAAATTACTCTTTCTTCACACACTCATTCAATATTCACACTACCGGGTGGATTAATTGTGTTCTGGCATAATACTTTATCACCCACAACAGGTCATGATTTCCTTCTGTCGCCTCACAAGTCAACATCACTCACCAGCAACACGTCTTTTCCTGAAAATCACTGCCATGCTATCCACTTCTTCACACGCTTCTAGTGCAGCCTCCCCCTCACCATCTCCCTCTTATCATACCCTCGCTATATATACTGACACCTTTACCATCATACTCTTGCTGTTTCATATAATTTGTTGTACACTGAGTGGAGGTAGATGCTCTCCTGCTGTTTTAGATGCCGATCTCTTAGGCTATTTCCTTACCAAGAAATATTAGTGAAAAATATTTTTTGTCAGTAAATATATTACTTGTGATAGGTTCTAGACATACACCACATCACACTCCTCCCTCCCGTACACGGCAAGACACTTCACCACACCCAGACACACTCCCGTACACTGCGAGACACAAATTACCTGGTATCTTAAAACCATGCAAATTATCTGGCGTCTTCTCGTCTATAAAATATATAACTTAATAATCCACCATCTTGCTACTCGTCCACACATTATCCCGAGTCTTGACAGGTACAGGTCCACCATCTTGCTACTTGTCCACACACATTACCCCGACTCATCCGTACACAGTTTGAATAAATAATATTTATAACACCTGCACCTTCTCAACCACTCGTCATAGCAGCTCCTCCATAACACAGCTGCTTCCCGTCCACTCACGCGGTTCTCGACTCTTCACAACTCGCACCTACAAGCACTTGTTCTGGTAGCTCCGCACCCGATTCTGTAGCCGACAACATTTCTGGAACAGTTCACTCGCACTGCAGTGCTCTCTAAGCACCACGTCTGAACAGCTCACTCGTCTTGGGTGGTGGAAGGACGTGGTAGATTGACAGGGTTTACTAAGGTCTGTTCCCGATACAACGGTCAGCCCCTATCCTGTTTTTATCTTCCTTCTGCACTGGAGAGGTGGTAAGGACGGAGTAGTGTGTGGGGTCTGGTATAGGCTCACACCTGCTCTGCCGCCTCACACGTTGACTGCTAAAAAACAAAGACCAATGACACAAAGTTCAAAACTTCAAACCCCAGAAACAACTCGGTCCCGAGTAATGTTTCGAACCTTAACCCGAATCCTCACATTTTTACTGGCGCAACAAAGTAAATTCAACTCCTGACAATCACTAAGAGTAACTGAATAGGTTCTAAAATAATTTATCCGTCTATATTAACATACGGACACTAATATATATTAAAATAAGGTACTAAATTCCTGGATAATATTTGTATAAGGTGACTAACAAGTTGTTATAAGACAATAGCGAATGACATTACAGCTACCACCGCCCCAACACATACACCTCCACCCCCTCCACACAAGGAAACAAACACAATAATAGAGGAACAAACACACACAAATACAAACAAACACAGCAAATACAATACAGAATAAAACATATACGGGCAGCGGAATGAGTCATCTTGCGTCGCCATTGAGAGAGCGAGGGATCCACATTGCAAAATTGCGTTGAATAAGCGACTTTGCACTTTACCATGATTAACTGGTCGGTCCTGCAACAAGGGGCGTCACTCCAAACTCTGTTATCTTTTGACACGATCACTGGCGATGGTGGTGGTAGGGCTATTGTTGTTGTTGTTGTTGCGATGGTGGGTTGTTGTGGTGGTGGTAATGGGAGGTGGTGGTGATGATGGGTTGTTGTGGTGGTGATGGGAGGTGGTGGTGATGGGAGGTGGTGGTGGTGGGTAGAGGTGGTGATGATGGGAGGTGGTGGTGATGGGAGGTGGTGGTGGTAATGGGAGGTGGTGGTGATGATGGGAGGGATGGTGGTGATGATGGGTTGTTGTGGTGGATGGGAGGTGGTGGTGGTGGTGTAGAGGTGGTGATGATAGGAGGTGGTGGTGATGGGTGGTGGTGATTGATGTTGTTGTTGCGATGGTGGTGGTGATTATTGTTGTTGCAATGGTGGTGGGTGGTGGTTGTTGTTGCGATGATGGTGGTGGTTGTTGCTGTGGTTGGAGGCGTTTATTTTTCTTTGTTGTTGTTGTTTGTTGTATTGGTGAGTGTTGTGGTGGTGATGGTGATTATTGACGTTGCGGTGGTGATGATGGTGATAATGGTGATGATGATATAGGTGATGATGATAGAGGTGATGGTGATAGTAGTGATGGTAATAGTAGTGGTGATAGTGGTGATGGTTGTGGTAATGACACTGTAGTACTGACGATGGTAATGGTGTTGATGGTGGTGATAGTTGGTTGCTAGTGATAATGGTGATGTGAGAACCCTCTCCCTCTCACACCCTCTCCCTCTCACACCCCTTCCCTCTCTCCTCACACCTCTCTCCTCTCATACCCCCTCTCACACCCTCCCTCTCATACACCTCTCCCTCTCACACCCTCTCCCTCTCACACCCTCTCCCTCTCACACCCCTCTCCTCTCACACCCTCTCCTCTCCACACCCTCCTCCTCACATCCACCCCCCTCACACCCTCACACACTCTCCCTCTCACACACTCTCCTCTTTCACACCCTCTCCTCCACCACACCCACCCCACCCCTCACATCCACCCCCTCACACCCACCCCCTCACCATCGCTGGAGGGTGTCATCTGATCAGCATCACTCGCCCACGTTTTGACGCCATTAAATTTTGCAATCTCGTTATGCAACATCATAATGAACGACTCTTTTTGGCGTCCCCTAAATTCCGCGCTAAAATTTGGCATCACTTCGCTCGCAAATTGAGAAAAAAAAATCGATTATTTGCCACCAAGTTCACCAGTTTTGACCTTATGAGGAAAGTTAATATTTTGCTGTTAAATTGACCAGATGGAATAGAAGCGTCAATGTTATTTTTAAGCCCCAAAATGAAGGAGTTTAGTAGAGATAAGTTTACTAACCCTTTGTGTCCGAGGGGGGGGGGATGAGGGGGGTGTCTGCTGAATAAAATCATCTGGTGTTGACTAAATAACATACCCCCCCCACCCCCCCACCCCCCCAACCCAAATTACCCTCCCAATACTGAAGGGGTTAAGGTCTAGTGTGTTAGATAGACCGCAAATCTTGAGTTATATTTGCGTTAAGTCTTGGAGAAAAATTGACGCCATGTTGGATCTGAGAGTTTGAGGATGTGTTCAGAGTTAAAGTTAATGAATGATGAGATGTAAATAATTCCTGGTCGTCGGGGAGTTTGAGTCTAATGGGCTGTGTTGTACAGTAATCAGGAGTTATTACAGCGAGGAGTGGGAGTTGCAATTACTTTATGAGGTATTGCAAGGCTGAGAGTTGTTGCCAGACGGGGGTGGAGGAGGGAGAGGGAGAGAAGGAAAGGGGGAAAGGGAGAAGGAAGGAAAGGGAGGAAGGGAGGAAGGAAATAAGGAAATGAAAGGGGGGACAGTCAAATTATAATGATCAGCTATAATGAACTCAATGCTAAATGGTTACAAAGACTCAAAACTACAAATATAACACCATTGATTATTGCAACACAGCTATACATAAACACCTTCTCAACTTACCATTAATGATGTAAGGTGTTGCAGCAGCCATATATAACCACCTTGAAGAACAACCTCTGCAACACGGCTAGTTCCAGGTCCCTCGGTTACTCCCCCTATTCGTGAGCTGGTCTTAACGATTTCCCCAACACTGTAAATGTAAGGAAATTGCTCCAATTAAGCGGTATAACGACGTATTTATGTTGTGGATGTTGCAAAAACCATTAGAGTAAAAATGGTTGCAATTAGTAACTAGCGACGCCTGAGGACATGAACAGGGTGGTTGGTTGGAGTCACACATTGTTTACATTTGAGGGTGTCTCAGTGGGGGGGGGGGTGGTGGAAGGGATACAGACATAAGAGGTAAAGAGAAAATAAAAAACAATGAATACTAACAATGAAACAAATGAAAGACTATTATCACTACTATTACTACTACTATTACTACTATTACTTCTACTAGTCATTATCTGGAGAGTAAATCGTTGTTTGGTGATGAGTTTCTATACACATGCTAATCATCCGAGAACCAATAACATTACCGGGCTATAAGTTCATGTTATTTATATACATTGTGTTCCTGTACTACCTTATGTATACCTGCTCTGTCTGTGTATACAATAGACTGTCTGAGTATACATGTCTTCGCATCATTCGGCATCACTCGGCACCAGTCGGCATCATCACTCGGCACCAGTCGGCATCATCACTCGGCACCAGTCGGCATCATCGCTCGGCACCACTCGACATCTCTCGGCATCTCTCGACATCACTCTCGGCACCAGTCGGCATCTCGCTCGGCACACTCGACATCTCTCGGCATCACTCGACATCGGCATCACTCGACATCTCTCGGTATCATCGCTCGACTTCACTCGGCATCACTCGGCATCCCTCGACATCACTCGGCTTCTCTCGGCACCAGTCGGCATCACTCGACATCGCCCAGCATCACTCGACACAACACAAAGGTCAAAAATCTGAATAAAAGCGAAACAATTACAAGTATTAAAATTCATTCTGTTAACTCTCTCCATCATGGCCAGTTGGGGTCCATTGAGCGTGACGGCCGCTATTTTATGGATATTTTCGTGGATTTTGTGAAGGTTAAA